TCTGTATATCTTTATAACCTCCTTAATACAAAAGTTATATACAGGAAACGACACACGAAGATATGACATTAAATATAAGCTAAATATAAATTTCCTATCCCTTAGCTATTTTTTATTGCATTACGCTCTTCTTTCTTACTCTACATGGTGATCTCCCTCCGTCTCTAAACCGAGGAGAATAAAGGTGTGTCCCTCTAGGACCACTGAATGTCGTCTCTATCCCAGCCTCTAAGCCGAGGCGGCTATACGTCCCTCTAAGAACGACAACGACGCCCCTAAGCCGAGGCGGTTAAACGTTCCTCTAGGACCACACTAAGATGTCTAAACCAAATTTGATGGTGCTGTTTAATTTATATCAAACGTTTAGATACGTCGGCTGTTAGGGCGAGGCAATTACCACTTTTGGGTAAGTGTTACATTTGAGCACCCGTTTTCATCAACATTGGACTAATCTTTGCACGAGATGACTGGACCCCAGAAACCTACTTCCAGAAATTGATCTTGGCAGGAACTGACAGTGAATTAGTCTAAGAAAGTTGGAGCTTGCCCAGTTCTTGTCGTCACTCATGTGTTTAACCACTTCAATATAATATGCAGAGCACCTTTCATAGAACTATAATAACCCCTATAGTATTACAAACGTGTACACGGGATCTCGGGTTTTCGTCTAGCTGCCAATGTTCTTACGTGTATGCCAACGTGTACACGTGATCTTACATTATTTTTGTTCCGTCTGAACGACTAGTCACTGTTATTACACCCCCCCCCACACACACACACACACACCTGCACCATTGACAAGGGAAAACCACGCTGGAAAACCCCAGGAAACTTTCTCCAACTCCTGAACTTATGGTTATAGAACGTGTATGTAGAATTACTAGCAATCGAGGACAGTTTATAATTGGAAATCGTGGACGTTATCTTTCTACATGACAAGAATCAGGAAACCCATTACCCTTTTCACCACACACAGAGACACAATTTCACTTATCAAGACAGAACTATGGTGTGTTTTTTTAAAAAAAACTATGTGTTAAATATGATGTTAATATCGATAAAACCACATTTCATACGGGCTTAGTAAACATGTGACACACAACTGTGCGAATGATATAAAATGGGGAGGCTGGAAGAGGCGCCATGTCCTTTCCAAACAGCTTAGTGTGTTCTACAGTTTATAACAAAACCGCTACATGTATTTCAAAACAACCGTTGGCTGCCCCCCTTTAAACCACGCGAAAACATAGACTTTGACAATGTCACGACGAAATCATACTATTTTACCCCCCCCCCCCCCAACACTTCGGCCAAACTAAGAATTGTGAATGCAAATGTCGAATAGTATTCTGGTATTGCTCTGAACCACTAAATTGAGCACACTAAATGACCTCATAATGATGGTTGCTATGCAGATGAGTTACAATTTAAAATTTTATTTGATGTCCATTCTAAAGATGTAAAGCGCAAACGAAGAGAAATTTCGTCATTTTGAAAATATAAGTAACAAATTACTTTATACATTGTCCTAATTTAGACATTACATGAATAAAGTTATCCGATATCACAATATGCAGCCATAAAGTATAACACATTGATAATTAAGACAATTTATATGATAGCACAAATTTGTACAAACATTAAAATTAATGATAGACATATAAGTTACTTTAAAATTGTGTTATTACTCTAGGGTTTTAATGCCCTATTTAGTATTTCCACAACATGGTGAGGTATTATGGTTATCAATATTTTGCTATTGTTGTACAATGATCGATTACTGACGTTCTCTTATTCTGATATATGCGTCTTAGCATGTGTTATAGCTTTGCCCTGGAGCAACATATGAATTTCATTACCATTTTATATTTTCATATATTGTTGGCGGAGCCCAAAAAGTGCTAGGCAATTGGACGCCCAAAGGGTTAGCGTTGGCAGTGGAGGGACAAAGTGTAAGAGATTGATGTGTGAGCTGTAGGCCTACTTATTAACATTTGCTAAAACACAAAATTCGACCCATTGCATAGCTGGACAAGGGCAGTAGGATTATATTATCGGTTCATCAATCTGCATCAAGTAAAGCCCTTAAACAAATGAAATGAACATTCTACTGGTCTGCACCGACTAGGCTAATGAAAACGGACCCTTAAACAAAAGGGATATATAACAATCTGTAATGAAAGAAAAAATCACCGACATAGGCCAAATACTACGTATTCTGCGATTGACAAATTGGTACGCGAAACTCGACAATAAGCCAGTGCGGCAAAATATAAAAACCAAAATCGTATAGTCTATGTTAGATACAAGAATGACTGCGCCTTCACTTTCAGTGCAAATGAACCCATTTGACCCCGAATATCTCGAAAACGCCCCAACGGCGGACTGATTACCACTCGGCATCGTATTTTACGCAAAATTTTACTCTAGAAAAGTTGGGTCTGGTTTTGTGCCCATTTGATGCCCCCCCCCCCCCCGCGCTGTGCCTCCAGACTATTAGCATCCCTGAACGAACATTTATTTCATTTTTTTCGTTTGTAACACTAATAAATTTTATTTATTTTTACTTAAGCCTGTTTGTAGTAAGATTGGTAGAACTTTTGCCCTTGAAATTAATAATACCATATATTGTACCTTTAACTAATTATTAGATTCACACATTGTATAGAACTCATAATATACACTTAAATCAAAATGATTGAATGTTTTATAAAGCCTAAACATAGCTGGTTCCCTGGGAACCAGAATATCATGTTTAACACGTGATTGGAAATTTACTAATTGCATCATACACTGTAACCATCCAATCAAATTCATTATTTGCAGAATCTTAAGTCATGACGTAAGCAAATCTGTTTAAAAGACCAAACCAGCCATTTAAGATTTAGATATCACTGGCTTCCGGACGGATAACATCTAAGTTCCTAGAGACTGCCTCTGAATTCTTAGAGAGGGTTGACATCGCCTTGGTTCTTTAGACGACCATGATGTAGCCTTTTCCTGAGTCTAACCACGCTGGTTAAACGTTTACTATTGAGATAGTAGTTGGACGAAAATACACAACGTGAAAGGGAATCCAAAGAAGAGAATTACAAATATTAGACGATCACAAGACTATTAAAATATGTAGCAGAGAAGAGGGTATGAGTCACACGTTGGATGTGAGGAGGTTTTTTTTTCTTTGTACTTTCCACATCTAGCCAGGGACTCGTAACACTACATAGCACTAGGCACAGTGTTACATGTTATCACTAAAAATGTTGATGTATCATAAAAGCCCCAATTCATTCAAATATTAGTACATGAAGATATTATGGGTAAACATGATGGGTTTATAAATATAACCAGCGGTTGCCATGCAAAATACGCCCATATTTTGCAAGAGATGGAGAGAGAACTAAAAAAAGGTATTTATTTGCAGAATTAGGGGCCATAATCCAGGAATTATGGTCCGATATGCACGGATATCGAAAGGCACGAAGATCTTTTGGATATAAAGTTTCATCAAAATCGGATAAAAATTGTGACTTCTAGAGGGTCCACAACCTTGGTATACTTTCACAATATTAGCGTACACGGAACAACCATTTTGTCGGACAGATTCGGTCGGATTTTCAAGAAATTATAGGTTAACGGTGATATATTGGAACTGTTTTTTTTTATAAATCGGATAGACATTGTGACCTCTAGAGGATGTAGGCTTCACAAACTAAAAACGCGATAGTTCGAAAAATCAAAGGCCATAATCCAGAAAGTTACGTTATGCGCAATTATTAAATGGAACTGAGATCTTTGTGATATAAACATAAAATTTCACCAACATCGGATCAAATTTGTGATATACCATACCTCTACATTATTTGCATAAGAGAAGTGGCCATTTTGTCGGGCAGTGACGGTGCGATTTTCACGAAATTCAAACTCAACCATTCACTAGGCAATGGGTATTATTATTGCATCTAATGATAAAAATGGATAAAAGCATATACTCGAATGAATATTTACGGTTCGTGGGAAGTAAATGAAGTTCTATAATATACTCTGATTTTCATGGATATAATATTATTTATTGAAGGCATTTACACATTAAAATACTATATCGACAATGTTTACATCGTTATGATAATAATACTAATTGGAGTGAATTAATGAATGACTCGAATAGGGTTCAACTTCCTAATTTTCTACACCAACGGGGATAATGAAGATGGGCCTATGCTATACAGTGCGCCGATATGGCGTTGTCTCTGCGACCAGCAGATATCTCTGTCGATCCCGGTGTTGGATAAGAAGTTTCCCGTGATTTAACAGTGTTCGGCTGAGACGAAACCGATGTCCGTGCACTCGTTGACGTGCGTGTATAAGAAACCCTTGCCAGTGAGAATTCGAAAAATAAAAAAAAATATGCCGTAGCGCCACTGCGCGCATGCCTGTTTTCGTTATCCTGGTTGGCACTTATAAAAATAACGCGTTAAACCCCATTTCCGGACTGGGTCAAATATGAGAAGCAAATGCAAGCTGTCATTTAGATTGTTGCTCCTGCAGTATTATTATGTTTTGTGTATTTTAAGTCTTTATCGTTATATAAGTATCTCACTGAAAGTTCAAAAGATAAACGGATTCCCGTAAAGAACATTTCAAATTATTAAGCCGTATAGAAATGAAATAAAATGGTGTTTAACATGCTACTTTTTGCACCAATCAGGTTAATGAAGTGTGATATTAGGGGGGTCCGAATGACTAGATATGTCCTTTGTCATGTCCTCGTGTCTGCACCACTGACAAAGGGAGACCACTCTTGAAAATCCAAAGGAACTTTGTCGGCCAACTTCGGGATCGCACGTGGGACCCTGCATGGTTAGTGAGAAAGAGTCTTACTCATCGTGGTTCTCGAGACTTAATTTCAGTGCCATGTAACCCATCGACCGCCCAACTGGTTTATAAATCTGAATTTAGTAAAGCGAAAAAAAAGTTTAAAAACTGTAATAAATTAAACTTACCGGTTGTTGAATTAGATTTTTTTTTAATAAAACTTAAAACATGAAATTTGTGGTAGTTGCATGTATTTCATTCCGCTTATTGCTTTATCCGAAGTTAACAAAAACCAACGAATGTGGTATTAAATAATATATTTATTAATAAGTTATAGAATGTTGTTTGTTTAAGTAATGTTTTAACGCCCTCCAGTCATACACTATGGCCAATTGATTGATAAGGTGACGAGATAATTGTGGCTTTGTTTCCTCTTGAAACTCTGCTAGCTATTGTTGCCGTTTAAGTTGAACTGATTGATAAGGTGATTAGGTAACAATAGCTTTGTTTCTCTTTTCTTGAAACCCCACCCCATGTACGATTTTAAGCTATGGATACGAGGCTAGCTAGTATAGGTGTAAATAATGAGTTGGAAAAATGGCAAATAAAATGGGGTTTAAAATGGGAAATATTCACATAAAAAAGGACAGGGGTGTCACCCAATAACAAATCGGTCTTTTTAAATTCTAAAACAATAGTTTATTTGTGAAATATTTTTTGTAGCCCTTTTCCACGATGAAATGGAACTATCACAATAAATTGAATGGGGTTTTACTTCACCCATCTGATTTAATGAAGACGGGCACACTGACAAGGAGAACCCGGTGAGCGAGTGCCTTACTCATCGAGTCACTCCGAGTTCCCGCCTTAGAAATTACCAAACGGTAGAGCAGGTGTAGGATTGATAATGTAAAACATAATAAAAGGTGTGTGAATTATAATTTAGAAATGAATGAAAATATAGAAATAAATAAAAAAAGAAACCCCATAGGGTGCTAGAATGATAATAAAGAAATAAACTGTATTTTTAATTTAATATGTATAACTGAGCAAGGTAAAACTGAATGATAAAATATTCAATCCCAAAGTAAAAATAATGTTGCCACATTTTGAAAGAGATGGACAGAAAAGGCTAAAAAGGCGAATTTTCATACAATCAGGGGCCATAATCCAGAATGCTAGGGCCCGACATGCGTCGTTGGGATAGAAACATATTTTTAGTTTCATTAAAATCGGATGAAAATTGTGATTTCTAGAGGGCCCACAGCCTTGCATCTTCGATAAATTGCCGCTAGTGACGAGGATGAGAAACAAATCGGATTATCCCTTTGTACTAAATCCAGAACAAGACAAAGATAACCATGAAGAAAATCCTGGTGGAAAATCACCCAGACTGTTCCAGAAACATGACCGTGATTATAATTCGTAACATGCTTGTTGTTTGTGTTGTGGAAGAAAGATTCAACACATGATGGCGAAATTTAATTGTAGGCACATCAATAACATCCGGGTCAGATAGGCGGCGGACCCTAGGGCCCGGTTGACCGGCAGACCAACTTACCTACCCTAAGGTCGTAGCATCAATGGCAAAGCGGGCCAGACTCCTTCTCTACTCCCCGAACTTTCTTCTTTCGATGAGATTTACTTTGGGCATTCCGTTGCAAAGATACTATGTCTCAAAATTAAACTGGACCAAGCCTATTCCCTTTGGCTTCTTCCAGTAAGTTTCTTAGGAAACTGTTGTCTACGAGATCACCCTAGGTGGAAGTGGGCGTAAAACTCTAGGAACGAACAAAATTTCTTGTCTGCGATATCACCTCGGTGGACGCGGGCGTTAAATAAAGTTATGTCGCACACACTAAATTTCATTGTGCTTGATATTGATAAGAATAATTGTAGAAACGCCGTGCTTTTAGAATAAAACTAGTGATTGTATCCCTTAAAAACTGTGTTGTTAGTCTCAGACAGTATGGAGGCAATAGTGAAATTAAAATTTCGCCAATGACACTTATTTTAATCTCTTTGTCCATAAGAACAGGCCATAGTTAATAGTCCGGTCATTTTATTTCAAAAAGGCGTAGGTGTGGGGGGTCAACCCCCCAAAAATTGCAAGACATGGTGTTTTTATGGTTGTTGGGTGTACTGAATGGCATCCTAAAATTTTACCAAAATTTTGAGATTAATTGTCAGTTTTCTTTGATTGGCAATTAGTAATTTGAACATATTAACACAAGGTACAATTTTATGGATACACAATTACTGAGTTTAATACTAAGCGACATTTCAACGAGGATACTCGCGTCTTTATCAAGCAAATGATACAAGTACGTGAATAGTAGGCAAATATATACAGAATATGCAACAAAATAACAATCAAATACAATTAAATCTTAACACCTACACAACGGAAACTCTTACAGGGATTAAAAGGAGGGGAATCCTATTATTTATAAAGATCAATGTATTAACACTATTAATGAGAAACCAATTAACCTGGGTTATAGATAAACAATAATATAAAGAGAAGTGTGTATGTATGGGAGTATCAGTCAACAAGAGTAATCGCTGATGCAAGTGTAAAGAAAAATAATAAAAAATAAAAATAAAAAATAAAAAAATATAAAATATATTAATTCAATAAACAGAAAATCATGAAAGATAAAACTTATTATTAGACTGTAAATTGGACGTGGGAAGCCGTAAATATATTAATTCAATAAACTGAAAATCGAGGATTGTGAAATATATCTCCGGACTGTAAAACTGGTTAAGTACTGAAAACCAAGATATGTAAAATGTATACTTAAGATTGTGAAAAAACTGGGTAAGCACTGAAAAAGAACAAAAGTATGGGAGTCAATAAGATTGAAATCATGAAGGATAAAACCTATTATTAGAGTATAAACCTGGACGAGAGAAACCGTAAATATATTAATTCTATGAATTGAAAGTCAATAAAATGTGAAATATATTATATGACTGTAAAACTGGTTAAGAACTGAAAACCAAGATGTGTAAAATATATAGCTAGATAAGCACTAAAATGTGTTAATTCTGAAAGCTGAAATCCTGAGAGATGAAACCTGTTATTAAGACTCTAAACCTTGACGAGGGAAACCGTGAATATATTCATTCACTAAACTGAAAATCAATACTCTTGAAATATACTATCAGACAGTAAAATTGGATAAGTACTGAAAGTCAAGATAATGTAAAATGTATAATTAGACTGTAAAAACCGGATAAGCGCTGAAATCGAAATAAAGTATTAGAATCAATGTATAAGTTGGTCATAAGCCCTTGGTATAAATAGTCCGACATCACGGTTTAACTTGGGCTTGATGCGTTTTATATCGATGGCCTCAAGAAGCTTCCGGGTTTTCTTCTGGTGATGATTTACTACAAGGGTTCTTATTTGGTATGATGTCCGTTGTTAATAATATGCTCTGCTGAGGGATTGGTGGAAGCTAATGACTTGTGCTTTTTTATTCGTACATATTTTTCGTTGCACGAGCATGTTATCTCATAAATACATCCTTTGGGCTGTGGGGGTTGGTTTGTGTTGTTCTACCATTGGCTTGCAGTACATTCTGTGTGGTTCTACCGCTTGAGAAGGGCACGTCTATGCCCACTTCTTGTTTCATCAACCTTCTGATATGGTAAAAGATTTTGCCATGAAACGGGATGGTTATTCTGATGCCGGAGTGGTCAGTATTTGGCGTTCCTGGCTTGTGTTGGTTCTCTATGGTAGTGGTGATGACATCGTTAACCAGTGTTGTGGGCTAACTGTTATTGTTTATGAAGACGTTCCTTAAATGCTCTAATTCCGCTGGTAAACTTTCTTCATCACATATCTTGGTGGCGCGTCTGGTTAGAGTGGTGGTGGATTTCTTAATTTGATGCGAATGATTTGATTTATAGTGAATGTATTGGTTAGTGTGAGTTGGTGTCCTATAAACAGTAGTGGAGAATTTGTTATCAGATTTGGTTACTAAGACATCAAGAAATGGGAGACTGTCACCTGTTTCCATTGTGAATTTTATCCTCGTTTGTCGACTGTTCAGATGTTGAAATAGCGTTTCTGGGTTGTCGTCTTGGTTGAGGACCACAAATACATCATCGACTCTGCGATACCAACAAAGGGGTTTGATGGGGAAGTCTGTAATGCACCAGTTTCAAAACTGGCCATGAATACTTCATACAGTAGTGGTGATAGTGGATTACCCATAGGCAGGCCCTGTATTTGTTGATAATATTCATCACCCCATCAAAAGTAAGTGGTAGTTATACAGAGACGTAAAAGTTGAATGATATTATCAGTGGTTAGGTTGGTGTCCAGTGGGGTCTCTGAGTCATTGATTTTCTTTTTTTAAGTATTTGGAGTGTCTGAGCTGTGGGAATATTAGTGAACAAGTCTACTACATCGTAGGAAATGATGGTGCCGGTTGATGGGACTGTTGCCAATTTATGGCAGAAATCGCTGGAGTCTGCAATGAAAAATTCTGCTGATTTTCCAAGTGGTGCCAAAAGACGGGTTAAGAATTTTGCTGTATAGAACCTTGACCGGGTATTTGTGAACCTTAAGGGTGCATATGGTGAGAGGGATTCAGATTATAGTAGAGTGCTACTGTGATCAGCTATTTGTTTTTCAATGAGGTGAGAAGTTTTTGCAGCTTGGTTTCATGTATGGCTGTGGGATCTTTCCTGATTCTTTGGTAGGTTTTGGTGTCTTGAATTAACTTGTTCACGGTATCCACATAGTCATTGGTGTCCATAATCACAGTAGCTTTACCTTTGTCAGCAGGGATGATAGTGATGTTGGAGTCTGCTTTCAGTTCTTTTAGTGCTAGCTGCTGGGATTTGGATAGGTTGTTGGTTTGAGGTTTGGTTTTCAAAAGTATATTCGTGATCTGATGCTTGAGATAATCGACCTTGCCACCTGGTGCCAGTTGAGGTAACCCCTTTTCTATATTTGTGATGTAATCGTCGTGATTCTTTGGTCTAGATACAGGGATGAATTTTAGGCCTATAGATAGTAGAGCGATTTGTTCATCGGTGAGATTAGTTGGGCTGAGGTTCACAACAAGTCTGCTTCCGATGAACCTCAGGAAAATGTACAAATGTGTCTGCTTTCAAAGAGAGTTCTAAATCTAATTTGCTGGCTTTTACAATTACTCCTGTGTTATTTATGTATTTTTTGAAGTCACCAGGAATATATTTTTCAATGCTTACAAAGTCATTACTGCTTGTTTTGCAAAATATACCTCATTAAAGAAAAAAACAGGTCCATATTCTGGTGGT